TTTTTTTGTATTTTAGGGAAGGCTCAACAGGGTGTTCAGGGTCTCACTACTAGATCAGACTCATAGCCATCCTCATGTTTACAGCCTCCCAAGTGCTGGGATTACAGGCGCACGCCACCATGCCAGCTCAATTGCTGTCTCAGCGCTCCCCACTGCGCAGTGCCCGCACGGGAGGCCCAGGGATTGAACCCCCAGGCCCTGTGCCTGCTAATTCTTCATATTGAAACAGACAGAAAAATAAAATATAATTCTGTTTAATAAAGTTCTAGAAGACGCAAAATATTGTACGATTAAGAGAAATTAAGTCAGTGGCTTTTCCTGTGGCTGTCATTTTCCGAGAATAGTTACAGAGGAACTGCTCTGTCATTGAAAACAGTGTGGTTAAGCAAATGTTTGCCTTTTCAAAACTGATCCAACTGTGCATTTGAAGTCTTTTCATCTCAGTGTCTGTATATCAGTTAAAAATATGTGCTGTATTTTTAGCAAAAGCACTAGATAATATGCATTTGATTTCAGAAAAAAAAAAAAAAAGAACAAAGAAAAAAGACCAGGAAAGAACTTTTCAAGTAACTCTTGTGTAAATGAATACATTTCCCAACCAGGCGAGGCTTCCTTCCTTCAATATTCCTGTTTTCCTGAGGACATCTTCAGTACTAAGTCCTTCTTCAGCAGAGAATATCAGTTTCTGGTTAGAGAAAATATATCTCCCTGAGAGTATGAATGAAATTTACTACAGATATGCAATGTATGCATGATATTTATCATGATTTCCATTTTAAGACAAATAATTATGTATTGGAAAGGCAGATACGGTTAATATATTTTTCAAGAAGGCTGACATCTGGTTGCTTTCAGCAGTGCCAGGAGAACACTTTGGGGTATAAAATGTTTACCTTTATGCAAGAATCTTAACTGTAAAAAGGAAAGGATCGGGGCTGGGGAGATGGCTCAGTAGAATAAGCGCTTGCCTGGCGAGTGGAAGGTCCTGAGTTCAATCCCCAGTTCCAAAACAAAAAAGGAAAGGATCCGCCACTGTAAGAAAGCAATGCTTTAGAAAGCGACTAGGCGGCTGAGCGCATCGGCTGAGGGGACTAGGCGGCTGAGGGGACTTGGCTGGCAAATGCTTACACACACAGTCTTCATTCAGCGGGAGCTTGAGGAAGGCGGGTGCTCTTTTCAAGAAAGAGACTGTTAAGGTCACTTCTTCTCCGGCGTTCCGAAGAACCTGAACCTGGAAGTGGAAAGAACAAAAATAGCACAGTTATCCTAATCATTGTAAAGTTCATGTGACGGTAGACTTTGGAACCCTTAGATGCCTTTCCTGCCCCTTGTTTCCTCTGAGTGGAGGGAAATGCTTTAGGAAAGGTAAGGCTGGAAATTACGGAGCCACATTCGTCTGCTCCTCGAGCTCAGCCCGGCGGCCCCACTGTGGCCTTCTGAGCACACCTTCCTTTTGCATTTGTTAAAGTTTCATCGTTTATGGTCTATCTCAGGCAGTGCGGGACATCCGGGAATCCATGGGATGACAAATAACATGTCCAAGCTTCCATCTTTACTAAACAATGGAATTAATCTATGGTACCAAGGGCCGGCCAAGTAGCTCCATGGATTAAAGCGCCTGCAAGCAGGTGAGGGACAGGCGGTTCCATCCCTGGGCCTGCCATTCCGCCCCACCCAACCCTCAGGGTACGCTGAGATGGCAACTGAGACTGGGGGTGGCACGCACCTGTAATCCCAGCTCTTGGGAGGCTGTAAACAGGCAGATGACTAGGAGTCTGATCTGACCCTAAACACCCTGTAGACCCTTCCCTAAAACAACAACAACAACAACAACAACAACAAAATCTATGATACCAACAATGTATATGAAATGGAGTAAGCTTCCCTAGCAGGAGAAAAGTCATCTTGAAGACATGGAGCAGAGCCCTCCCTGGGATTAAATACAATTGTACTGATAGACTCAACCCTTTGTAAAAATAAATAGGCATTACTGCCCTGCTGCATCAGTAAATATTTTCCTCTCCCTAAATACCTGCAGTGGTGATTAAATATATTATTAACAATTCTCAACTGTTTCTTAAATTATAGGAAGAGTAGGCCTAGTTCTGCCTGTTAAAATAATGTCTAATTCTCGAAAAATCAAGGAAAAGGACATGTAAGAAATACAATAATAATTAACTAAATTTCTATATTTTATTAATAGAATATTTTTACTATAGGTAATAGGTACATTTATTGTAGCAAACAGATATACATACATAACACATCTTAACTCTTTTTACATTTTCCTTTTCTACCCTTCTTTCCTATCTCTCCTTATCCCAATACAAAATTTTAAATTTTAAAAGGAAAGGAAGCTGACAAATTATTTGAACCTATGTACCTGAAAAAAATATGTTTAGTGTTCTAAAACATCATATAAACTAAGAGGAGAACTAAGAATAACTATTCTAATAGCATTTTATGTACTTGGAAATATAACCTGTTATTAAATAATAGAAAGCCTACTTCCCCTGGGAAAGCCCCTGGACCTGAGAAGCCCATTCCTTACCCAGAGGTGCTGTGTGACCCGAGCTCTGTGAAAATTTCTCATTCTTGGGGTGTGAGGGGGCGCTTCCTCCCCGCTATTCAGGGAACATATGCAGGAGGTAAGGGCTTTCCACTGTCCCCACAATCCTACTTTCTGTAGGCAAGGGGTGAATTTTCTCAACAAACTGATCGAGAGATGTGAGTTTGTGTCACACTGACTTTCTAATCATTGCTGGGACAAAATATCCCACATCCAAAATTAAGGAAGGAAAGGTTTATTTAGCTGACAGTTTATGGAGGTTTCAGTTCATATTTGGCTGGTTCGCAGGCTGAGCTGCGACAGTTTATGGGAGCAGCAAATAGGGACGAGCACAGGGAAGGGCAGCAGCTGCAGCTTCTAGCCGGCCTCTCCCCGCTCCTTAATTATAAACAAGCTACACAGGGCTGCGTGTAGAACTCACACAATGTCCATGAAGTCCTGCACAGCATGAGGATGTTTACAGACTAAGAATCCTGGCTCTGCTGAGTCACTTAATTAAGCTTCTAAACTTCTCAAGTTGACACAAAGTATCAACCAGTACTCCTGGTTAATGGAGCCGGGGTCTAATCTCGGAACAAGCTCTCCATTTCCTGGTGTCCTCCACTCGGAACAGTGAAATTCCCAGTGACACAGAATAAACCCACTAGTCCAGAATGGCACCAATCAGAATTTAGAATACTTACTGTGAAAAGGCCTGATTTCTCTGAGTTAGTGTACTAAACAGTACAAATCGATACTTTAAAAAATCTTATGTAAGACACTGATGTAGAGGTTGTTGTTGTTTTTTTTTTTTAATAACACAGTAGCATAACATAATAAACAGATTGCTTGAAGATAGCACAATGGCTTAAGCACCTGCCCAGCAAGAGCAAGGTCCTGAGTTTGATCCCTAGTACCAAAGGGGAGGAGAAAAAAAAAAAAGAAAAGGAAAGGAAAGGAAAAGAAAGAAAAGGAAAGGAAAGGAAAGGAAAGGAAAGGAAAGGAAAGGAAAGGAAAGGAAAGGAAAGGAAAGGAAAGGAAAGGAAAAGATAAGACAACATAAACAAATAATAATTACACTAAGGATAAATAAATGTCCATCAGGAATATTTTAAAAAGGAATATTCAAATTTGAAAGAGAAGAGAAAGGTGAAACAGGATAAATCACAGTTTGGAACTATCTAACTATAATTTTGAAGTAAACATAAAAAAGTATCAAGAAAGAATTGGAAGTTCTATTGCGACACATGAAAATTCCAAAAATCTAGTAAGGAAATAGCGAACAGTGACAAATATTGAAATGGAAATTGTAGAACATTAAAACATACTGACATAGATAACATTTTCTGAATTAGTCCAATAACAGAATAAAGAAAAAAGAGGACAGAATCACTAAAGATGAGGAAGAATCATAAAACTCACTCAAACTGAACATTAGAGAATAGGTAGCCATGAAAAGATACCTGAGTCAAGAAGCTGAGGAAACTACAAAGAGCGTAGCCTGAGGTAACCGCTTCACACACTGTGCTGTGAAGTTCGGCAACCTAATTTCTCAATACTCTTCAAAGTAGAAAAAGATAAGGGACATGAAAATATTGCTAAAGGTCTTTTTTAAAAAATCAAATTCAGGGCTGGAGAGATGGCTCAGTGGTCTAAAGCACCTAC